TGAACACTTAATGGTTAAAATGGTAAGTTTTATGTATATTTTACCATAAAAATAACAGTATGTGGGCCAGCCCTGTGGCGCACTGGAGAGCGCGCCGCTTGGGAGTGTGGCGGCGCTCCCGCCTAGGGTTCGGATCCCACATACAGACCGGTTCCCGCTCACTGGCTGAGCGAGGCGCGGGAGCAACACCGAGGGTTGCGATCCCGTTGCCGGTCCCGGTCCGGTACGGGGGCGACACTGAGGGTTGCGATCCATTGCCAGACACGGAAAAAGACAAAAAAAAAAAAAAAAGTGGGGATTATAATACCTGTCTTGCAGAATTTTGTGAAGATTAGAATAGAACCTATTAATTAGTTGTGTGTGTGTGTGTGTGTTTTAAGAAGCTTTATGGTATTTTAAAAAATCTAGACTGTCATTTGGTTTCCTATTTAAGAAAAATTGGGAGAGGTTGTTTAAAATACAGGTTCCCGGGCCGGCCCGGTGGCGCACTGGAGAGTGCGCCGCTTGGGAGTGTGGCGGCGCTCCCGCCGAGGGTTCGGATCCCATGTGGAGACCGGTTCCCGCTCACTGGCTGAGCGCGGTGCAGGCGCAACACCGAGGGTTGCGATCCCATTGCCGGTCCCCGGTACGGGTGCGACACAAAGGGTTGCGATCCCGTTACCGGTCAGTAAAAAAGACAAAAAGGAAAAAAAAAAATACAGGTTCCCAAGTCCCACCTTCTAGACATGATGTTTTAGAGTAGCATTCTGGAACCTTTATTTTTAAACAGATTCTCCAGATGATTGCATTGTGCAGCCAAGTTTGGTACCAGTGGTGTAGAAAGAATCAGAGAGATCTGGAGCTGAATCTCACTTGGCTCTACCACTTGCTGATTCTGGGACATTTGGCAAACTTTTCAACCTCTATGAAGATAACATTTCTTGCAGGGTTGTTGTGAGACTTAGCAATTGTTTATGTATAGGGTTTGGCATATAGTACACATTCAGTAAATGATAACGGCTATGGATGAAAGTGGTGATGATGATGATGACAACAGTGGTGGTGATGGATAATGCATCTATCATCTAGATTTCAAATGAGTTTAATGAACTGTCATTGACCGATCTCTCCTCTCCCCCATCCACACC